TGTGATTGGACACACAAGGAATTTGTCTTCGGTGCATAAGCTCTCAGTGTACATAAAAGCTATAAGTGATAAATCATGATCATAGTCATCATAAAAATACATTCATCGTAAATTGTAAGATACAACACTTAGTGATAGTCATAGGATCCTAAATTAGCAATCAACCTAAATTGTACTAGGAAACCAAATCAAACAATATAAATTGTAAAGCTACAAGCAACAAGGTTACAGTCATAAGTAGAAAGGGAGATAGGTAATAGGAAGGATGAAAACAATAATAGTAGCACAGTCTTACTAAATAGTTTGACAGTGTTGTGGGAGTAAGTTGTTTAACAGAGTGATGGCATGAGGGAAAAAACTGTCCTTGTGTCTAGTTGTTCTGGTGTGCAGTGCCATATAGCGTCATTTAGAGCATATGAGTTGAAACAATTTATGTCCAGGATGTGAGGGGTCGGTAGATTGAGTGGTGCAATGACCTAGAAGTGGAGCTCTTGCCTCACAATCAGAAGGCTGTGAGTTCGATCCTAGGTAGAGGCAAATATTTCTCTCTCTGGGCATGTTGAGAATATATCTGCTGAACAGAACTCTGCATTGGTGACAGGAAGGGCATCCGGCCATTCAACACTCTGCTAGCTCCATTCAATTGCCCAGACTCCACCCTGCAAGGAATAATGGGGTCATTATAAGATGATGATGATGATGATGATGATGATGATGATAGGTGTCTATAGATATAGTGTAAAGGGGGAGGAAAAAAGGAATAAGATTATTTTAACAGGAATGAGTTTGTGGCTCCCTGATGGCTTTGCGACACCAAAATATATATTTTCCTGGAGTTTTCCTTAGCTTTGCTGTCCCTTTTTTGGGACTCTTTCACCTAAATCTCCACGTGCATGTCGGACAACATGGATACACAGGATCTGTTTGAATGATGAGCCATCACGGGTTACAGATGGCCAAGTTTGGACTTTGCTTAAAGTATGGGGCTCTTTGTTGCATCAGAAACTGTATATTCTAGACATATGTACCTGTTATGCCCCTGTCGGAGGAGGAAGCCGAACAGCTGACAGGGAGCGGGAGTGTAGCTCCGTTGGCTGTGGAGGAAACTGGGGAAGGGCAAAGTCCAGCTGGGCAGAGCAGGGAAGAGGTAGAACAAGGGAGAGGGAGTTCAGAGGAAGACTCAGGCCCACCCCCTCTTCATCCTAGGGCACGCAGGGAGGAACAGAGAAGGGAGCAACATGGGTTGCATGGCTTACGGGGGAGGAAAGGGCCCTGATTCCCTTCATTAGCTACACCTTGGAATGAGAGTTTAAAAGAGATGCAAGCTGAGAGTGGCGGCTGCTGGGAACAAGTGTGAGTTTATCTTGTGTTGACTTTGCTTATTTGTGTTCCTGGCGTCTTCCCAACTGTGTTGAATTATTGCCATGCCTTCACATCTGGAATTCCTTCTCCTGCCCTGGTGGACTAATGAACTCATTTTGCCTTGATTGGACTTATAGTTACAGTTTTTGTTGACCATGTCTTGGACTTGATTCTCTGCAGCCAAAGGCTGTTCCTGGGAGAGTTTTTCTCTAGCCAGAAGGTAACCTGGACATTGGGGGCAAAGTTGGAGCTAATAAAGAGACTCCTACTGATTATCTGACTGGGTTGCCTTTGTGCCACGCCCCTTTGGGTCATCACAGTACCTACAGGTAGTCTTCAACTTAACAATGGTTCATTTAGTGAGTGTTCAAAGTTACAACGGCCCTGCAAAAAGTGACTTACGATCATTTTCCACACTTACAACTGTTTGCAGTATCCCTGTTGCCCCTTGATCAACATTCAGATGCTTGGCCACTGACTCGCATTTATGGCAGTTGAAGCGTTCCCGGGGTTCCCTTTTTGTGACTTTCAAAGTCCAGATTCACTTAACAACCGTGTCCCTAACTTAACACTTGCAGTGATTCGTGGAATGACTGTGGCAGGAAAGGTCATAATGGGGGGGTGGGGTGAAAGTCAACTTAATGATGGATGTCTCACTTAACAGCAGAAATGTGGGGCTCCATTGTGGTTGTAAGTCAAGAACGGCCTACCTATACAAAGTTGAAAAGTTTTCAGTGAATTGAAAAATAGATTTGAGGAATTCTTAACCTGACAATAACTATGCAGTTAAGGCCTCAATCACGTGTGTTGAAACCAGAGGCATCCATGGGAGACAGGAGTGACAAACATTCAAAATGGTGACCACAATCATGGAGCCAAATCCCAACCTCTTGTTATGTGTATTGCAGCTGAGATCTGAGTGACTTCACAGATACACTGTTAGTTGTTTTTTTTTGAAGTAATGTGGAAATGTTTTATCGTCTTATTCATCATTGCTAACATAAATTCCTCTCTCCTTCCTTCCTTCCTTCCTCTCTTCCTTCCTTTCTTCCACTCACTCACTCACTCAATCAATCAATCAATCAGAATAGAGCTGGAAGGGACCTTGGAGATCTTCAAGTCCAACCCCCTGATCAAG